AATGCAGAACAGGGAAACACTGGTGCAAAATAGTGGAATGGATCGTTTCAATCGGCGAAACTGGAAAATACGGACCGGATTTTTTTTTTAAAACTGGATCGGCAGTCTGGATCGGCATTTTACATGCTTTGCCGATACGCATTTTTTTGCCAATATCGGCGTCCCGATCCGATACGTGGATCGGATCGGGACAAGCCTAATCTACATAAGTCATTTTTTCTTCAAATAAGTGAATTTTTTCTTGAATTGAGGAGGTGAGACACTTTGCCAAAAAAAAGACAGTTCACATTTAAAATAAGAAAAAAACAATTGCATATTATCTAATTATTTTAAGAGTAAAACACCTCATTCAATTGGCAAATCATCATATTTACTTAGTAAAATTAAGGCCAAATACACTTATATTAAAAATCCTTTACTTATTTCTAGATTCTTTTTGCAGTGAGGGTCGAAACACAGAGATGCACTGCAAAAACAATCTAGAGATAAGTGAAAATGTCTTAAATTAAGTGTATTCACCCTTAATTTGAGTAGGTCAATGAGAGAGTTTGCCAATAGAATTGGTATTTTTACTCTTAAAATGAGATAATTAGATAATATGCACTTGAAATAAGACAATGTAATTGTCTTTTCTTATTTTAAGTGTAAATTGTCTTGTTCCATTGGCAAAATGTATCTTTTATCTCCTCAATCCAAGAACAAATGCACTTATTTTAAGAAAAAATTACTTAGCTAGATTTAGTTTTTTTCCAGTGTGTGATTCCTACACAGCTGTATGGCAAGCTGTAAATGCACTTTTTATGGCTGCTTTTAGCCAACGTCGTCTTCTTACGGCTCCTTTTTATGTGTGGAGTTTGTTCTGTCAAAGAATCTGCTCTAATTTCCTCATTGTCAGTTTCAGTGAGTCTGGCTCATTTTTTTGAATTGGTTGATTGAAAAGTTTTTCACATATTTCCCTCTGAATGTCTGCTGTTTTATCTGGTCTTCATGATGCTCTTTACTCAATAATGTTCTCTAACAAACTACTGGCAGAACAGCTTGATTTACATCAAGATTAAACCACACACTCAGTGGATTACTAAGGTACCTTACAAATCTGTTAGTTTCATTTGAAGGTATCAGAATAAATAATAAAACACTTTTCAGATTATTACTCAAAAAAAAAACATAAACTACTTAAAGTCTGTCGTTTGCATAAAGTCACAACAAACTAAGGTGGCCTGTATAGCTCAAATACACCAAAACATAAAACATTAAGAGGAATAGGAATACTTTTCGATTGAACTGTATGATTCTATAAACAAATGTAAAAAAAACAGAAAATGTGTTTTTTTATTTATTTATTTTTTTGCATAATCCTGAAAGCAGCTCAGCAGCTGATAACAGAAACTTGAAGGAGCCAATCAATAAATGAAGCCTGTTAGATTTAAAGGCCGTAATGTTA